TTCTATTCCAAAGGTAGATGATCTACGCAAATGCACGCACAGGTAACGAGGGACAGAACAAAACGGCTTTCTCGGCCTAAATGCCCAAAATCAGCCTTGACAGGATGATTTTTAAACCTGGGAATGGAGGAGACAGAAAGGTTCTGGTCAATTCAGCGATCTGCCTTACCAAGTCATCTGAAAACTATTTTTACATCTTTTTTTTTTTTAATTTCGAAACAATTATAAATTCACAAGTTGCAAAGATGGTACAAAGAGGTGACTTCTCCCAGTTTCCCCAATAGTTACAGCTTCTGTACTTACAATACCAAAACCGACAGTTCCACCCTGCGACAAGGTCTGTGGCTCCATATCTGACCACATGTGTAGACCTGCGTAACCGTCATGCTCAGCACACAGCTTTCGTCACCACAAAGATCTCCCTTGCTCAAACCCTTCACACTCACACCCACCCCCTCACCCATCCAAATAAGCTTCATGTAAAAGTACTCTTTCTACATGACTATTTTCTATGTGAACCTGGCTTAGTTTATTTCATTTCTGTAAAATGCTGTCCCCACGCTGTGCATTCATTTCATAACCCATCAATAGGTCATCTTCAATTTTAACAATGCACTCACTCTGAACTTCCAGACTTATTTCCTTCATTCGAGATTTCGGTTTGGCAACACACACACACACACACACACACACAGAGCTTATGGTGAATTCTCTTTTCTAATGGCAGTTTCTTGCTTTTGATGATCTCGTTTGGTCCCAAATCCCCGTAGCTTTCTCTAGGAACCCTCCTTAGCCTTTCAGGTTCTAAACTCTTGTCGAATCACTGTGCAGTCTCTGGATCCTGTTAACTCATTTATTCCAACACAAAAGAAACAGATTTGCAAAACAGGATTCCAATTTATTAATACACTCTGAGGTTCGTAATGGATCAATAGGGTTGTTTCAATCAGTATCAAGAAAATCCAATCGTGACTGCCGTCAGCGTTGCACTATAGGGACAGGTGCCCCAAAGGGGCGATGGTTCCTGGTGGCTTTGTCATCCACCCCCTTACGACCCTTACGAAGCGGCTCCTCTCCAGCCCTTTTCCTGAAACCCAGGCTGAGGATTAATCTCATCATAACACCTGAAATTTCCTCCTGGGCTTGCGCTAACTTCGTAAATTCAAAAAAAAAAAAAAAATTGGGGGTGGGGTGGGGTGGGATATCGGTACAGCCGTCATCTTTCAGGCAGAACCTCTCCCTTCCATTTGTGTTTGATTTCACTTTGGGTCACTTGAGGCCGGGCCGGCTTCTCAGGTGGGTCCTCGCACCTGTCACCTGCCGCCCCTGGCCCTCCCTGGATGGGCCATCGACACACCCCAGCTGTTGCGGTCACAGTGCATCTTAACGGCTGTGCCCATCACGCTGAACCGTCCAAGTCTAGTCTGACATGACACACACAAAAACGTGCCCTTTCCGTCTCAGAGGATAAAGGGGACACTGAGAGCTCAAGCCCGGAGGCTGGAGGTGCCCGCAAGCCCCGGCCCCGCGCCCGGCCTCCC